TTCGCTCCTGCTCCTTCTCTGCCGCAGAAGACGCGGCAATGTCGGCCAGTTGCTGCAGCAGGCCTTGGCTCTTGGCCATGGAGCGTAGATGATCAGCAATCTTGTCGCTGACTATGATATCCCATGCTGCCGGCGAGGTGAGTAGAGACCGCAGCTCCTTGAGGAGCTTGAACGCCTCTTCCTTGATCTCCTCGACCTTGGTCAACTCGATCAGTGCCATTGCGGGGAGCGCCGTGAAGTGATGGCTCATTGGGCTCGACACGTGGGGCGTGACGGCCACGAGGCTGACTAGCTCCTTGCAAGGCCAGAGGAGATCCGTCGCCTTGGACGCTGGGTGACACATGTACGCCAGCAGACGCGAATGCCAGTACGCCAAGTGGACGACAGGGAAGACGGCTGGCTCAATGTGGGGGGGCAGATCTTCACGAAAGTTTTCGACGTAATCGTTGAGCACCCCACCGAGGACTTCGTCTGCGAACGTCACTGATCCCAACGTTGCGCGAGCGCCGGATATGACATTGCAGGCTTGGTTGAGGATTTTGGATGCACCTGGCAAGGGTTCTGTCAGCTACATATCATACACAGGGGTGGAGAGAGACTCACGAATGAGTTGCCACGTCGTCTCGCCCACGATCTTTGCAACATCTGGGCTGACGATCGTTGACTCGGTCCGGGTCATCGGCAGCGTACCGGACCCCACTGCGTTCCACCTGTCAAGGAGCACGAGAGACCACCACAGCCGCACACGGAGATGCGTGCCAGAATCGCCATCGACGTCCCCGTTGACCTCAAGCGAAGACCCGGCCTGAGTACTATAGAGCTTCATGGTCCATGCAGTTGACACGGCCCGACCGAGCAAGGATTCCTTAATATGTCCGGCGCAGCTGGAAGGGCGGTTGCTTGCCTCGATGAAGAGCAGGAGAAGCGTTTGCAGGTGGATAAAGTGCGCAGCTGACGTCCGCGGCTCTTCTCCGTTCATTTCCCACTCAACCAGCATCTTCATTGCGAGACTGGCATCGCCCATACCCATCGTAGTGAACGATGGGAAGGACTGCATGGTACCGTGGAGAGCTTCAAGGAAAGCCTCTCGTAGCATTCCAGGGCATTGAGCAAGATAAACCTGCAGACGGGCCTTGCTGGCAGGCAGGATAGGTAGGTAGGGGTGCACCATTGTCAAGTAGCTGATGAAAGTTAGCCGTGGCTCCAATGAGATCTAGTCGATAAGCCTCACCCTTGAAAGTTGGCATCGTCGACCTCGCGCGGCTGAGTGATATCAGCTATGTCGCCAACTGAGCTCTCCGGGCCTACAAGCGGAGCCCTAGATGGCGTGTCTGGCCTCAACGATAGTGGCTGCGGGGCCAGGCCATGCGCCGAGTACGGCGCATTGTGTCTCTCAGGTGTTGCCGAAGCTTGAGGTAGCTGTTGTGGTTGAGGCTGGCTGCGTGCTTCTGAGCTCCACGTCGACGGCGGTTGGCGGGGGGCGGTTGGCGTCGTAATATCAGCACTAGAGATGCTGGAGAACGTGCGTTTGCGACCGGCTTCTTCGCCAGTGTTCTCGCATAGTCTACCTTCGATACTGTGAATGCGATCGGCCAGCTCCTTTATGTACCTGTCGGATTGACGTCAGCATGCACATGCTGCGAAGAATGAGACGCTCCAGCGGTTTCGTCACTGTTACTTACCCTTTGCTCGGTCCTCGTTTCTGGGGAATTCGACTAAAGGAACAGCGCTGAGCCGACCGTCTACAATTTGAGCATGGATTATCGCCTAGATCTGATTGCGCATCGCATTTGACCTTTTTCCTGCGACACTCGTCGCAAGCACGCGACACCTTGGAGCGCTTCCTTGGAGGAGTGCTGTCGTCTTGGTTATTCTGCGTATATGGCTGAGGATGGTGATTATTGATGGGCACTTGGCCAGAATTCTGCAGTGGCGTTTGAATCGGCGTCTGTATTGGTGTCTGCATCGGTGTCTGCGTAGGGTTCTGCTGTTGTATCGGAGCTTGCATGGAGTTTTGTTGAATAGGATTAGGCTGCATTGGCGCCTGCTGCATCGTAGTTTGCATTTGCGCCTGTGGCATGGGCGTCTGGGGTATCGAGGCCTGGGGCATTGGTGCCTGCAGCGAGGGCTGCGGTGCAGGCTGCAAAGGAGCTGCAGACAGCGATACGGAATCGGGTTCCTCTGATGTGAATGCATGGGATTGCGAGTCTTCGGGTTCAGTCAAATCGTTGCGCATGTCGGTGTCTTCGGCTTGTGGCAAGATGCCTCGAAGATTGGGGTCGTCAAACTTCATGTTAGGGTCCGTCACAGGCAACAGGGGCTCCGAGGCGAGATCTTGGCCAAGCTGGGCTGCAAGTTGAAGCTCCTCTACACTGGCGGCATGTGATGTATGGTGTTGTGACCCCGAAGACTCGTGGTGTTGGAGCTCTCGCGCGCTGGCATCGTTATCGTGAGGATGGGGAGTGTGGTCGTCGTGTGTGCCATCGTACTGGCTTTCGTCAATGTCATCGTGCGTCACCTCGTGACTGACATCGTGCACATCGTGAGCGACGTTTTCAGCACCGTCGTGGTCGAAGTGGGACGTCGTCTCTTGGTTGTTGGCTGTAGGGGATGGGTATGTCTGAATTCTGTCGTCGCCGCCCACTTCTTCCCCCTGCGCCGCGTCCATGTCAGAAACTGTCGGATTCAGCCAGTCGGGGAGTGCACAGCGATATAATTATTCACTAAATTAAAGTCTTCGTTAGCATGTGGAATCGGCAAGTCGTGCGCCGACAACATGGCGAAGCGGCACGCCCGTGTCGACCACAGGCTGGATCTCGCAGTCAATCGCAGTTCTAAAGCGCACGGGGGGAATAAAGTAGCACATGCGCGGGTGTATAAGCCATGCTGAAAAAGAACTCCAACTCGGTTTCATTGATTGCTACAGCCAGGTTCCTCGTTTCCCCCGACGCGTCAATGCCAGAAGGTGCTAACTTGAGGAGCTGGTAAGATGCTCAGGTGTAGTCGCAACCCTGACTTTAACACGCGCTGGGTAGTCAAGAGAAAAAAAAAATGCAATACGCCGGCGACGCAGGCCCAGCAGCACAGGGAGTTTGATTCACAGTGCAGCTTGTTTGCGCACCGAGAGTCGTGACAGGAATGAAGCAAGCAAATTGTCCACAAGGACTGGACTGACCTAGAGGTGATGCGACAAGCGCGCTTCGCGATGGGCGACGGAATAATATCGAATCGATGAACGGAATAGGAAGAACCAGGTGCCGACCGGAGGTTGCGACGGTACGTCTGGCGGGCGTGGAGTTTTTGCTCGAGGATAAATGGTCGGCCCACCCCAGACCCTGGGCCGGTCGCTTGTCACGTGGTGGTGGTTGAGGTTATGTAATCCGCCATGTTTCCAGGGAACGATATCAGTTACAAGTGGTGTATACTGGATGCCCTATACATGATCGCACATCTGCTGGCGGCCGACCTACCTACCTTAGCTATATAAAACATTTCGATCACGCGATATATAATGTGGCTACTGGCAGACAGTCTATTTGGCTTCCCTTCTCTTGTCTTGAAGTTTCAAGGCGGACTCCGCAAGGCCTGATGGTTCTCGGAGCTAGCGAGTTAGAATCGATTATCACTCCTTTGTATTAGAGACAACTCTGAGTCCAAGCTGTTACTGGCTCGGGTTTTCCGTGTTGAAGTTTCTGGCTGGCGTTTCATGGTTTCAATGGGGGTGACGCTGTGTCGTGTTCACGATATCCTGTCTAGATCGGGCAAACTTCCAAGGATTGAAGAGATGCCCTCGATACCTTGAGTCTCTTCGTCCCGAACGCCAAAATTCCCATACCATTATCAATTTTTTTTGACTGGTTTGATCTCTCGCACAAAACCCCCGGGTCCGAAGCAGCAGAAGAAAGGTTCTGGAAGTGACCATTTTGGTTAAAATTGTGCAGGTCTTAAACTGATACACGAGGAGGGGCCAGACTATTCGGCCTTGAGAGACACATAACCAAAAGACCCAGCAGCTGCATATTGGTGGTACCATGACTTTCACGTCGTCACAATGCAGGCTCGCCAGGCACTGCTAATCACGCCTCGAGATATAGTCTGATGAAGTATGCCGTAACTATTGCTCACCGCATGGGCCTCTATCACGACCACATTTGACATACAAACACAGCAAACGAGCTCTCCGAAAACGTCCCATTGGTGCCTGGTAGCGAAATTTCATCAGTTCCTACTCAAAAGCCACCAGGTCCGGTCAAACCAAATCATCCGAACCTAGGATATGATATGCAAACCAACGAACCACCTCGACCCAAACAACAGCCCTGGCCGCGAACTCCACAGCATCACAAACGACAGGCTACCCCTCGGCCCTCGACCGCGCATTCCAAAACCCCTTTCCATAGCTCACGAGGATCTCCTGCCCCTTGCCCACGCCGCCCTTCCCCGGCTGCCCCCGCCCCGGCGCCGGCAGGACAAAGACGCCCATGCACCGCTCGCCGAACCGACGGCTCCAGACCTCGCGAAACTCGGCGTTCGGCCGCGCCGCCACGCCGCGGTAGTCGTTGACGAAGCGCGCCTCGTTGCCGCCGCGCGCCGCGTCGACGGCGACGCCCTCGTCGCGGTCGAGCCAGAGGTCGTAGTCCGACTCGTCCGCCTCGTCCCGCCCGCCCTCGCCGACAGGCGGCCGTTCGCCGTGGACGGTGCCGAGGTAGAGGAGCACAAAGGCGCCGGGCTTGAGGGCGCGCGTCGTGAAGAGGCCGCTCTGTCCGCAGGCCGGGTGCGTGGCCTCGGTGATGGGCGTAATCTTGACGAGGGGGCTGATGGTCGGCGTCTGCGCGGCCGGGATGTCCGGGTCCTCAGGCCGCTGGCGCCGGAGGGCAGCGCGCTGCGAAGGTGTGAGCTGTTTGCTGTACGCGGGACTGGTGATGTAGGGGAGGTGGGGTGGCCAGTTCTTGGGCAGCTGCGGTGGCGCCATGGCTGTGGAGTTTCCTCTCTGGCGTGGTGACGTTGCTGACTTGATGTCGTACGTTGTTGGTGATGTGTTATTGCGAGTACTGACGCATTGTGTGGATATATGTCATGATCGGACCATGCTGGAGTCGAGGCAGTGCAGTGATGGGGGAGGGCACCTGTGGAGGAGCACTTGTGGAAGAGGTCGAGTGGTGATAATCAGTTCTGTCAGGAACAGAACTCAGAAAACTTCAAAGAATTTGGTCCAATCCGCGTCTGGATCAGCGTAGCCATGGTCCACACCTCACAATCCAGTGACCCCAACATGCATGGCATCACAGAAACACAGCCAGAGATGAAAGACAAGCAGGTCGTTCTACAGCTATCTACTAATATCACACTGGAGGTACTTCTTAAAGCTTTTTGACCATCCAACGCCTCAAACCCGCTGCCTCGGGTTTCCGAAATGCCACAAATCGCCCCCCGAGCGAGCCCGTCAACCCTCGTCGCACAGTCGGATCCTATGAAACCCTTCCCCCTATTTCTCGTTCATCTCGCCCCAGCCATGATGCCCTGGTAGTAGGTGCGACCAAGGTGGAGCGAGTGTTGCAGATACGCATCCTCAGTCAAGGGCAGTCCAAGAATTCGGGACACTCCGTTCTGCAAGGACGTTAGCTTCTTCGCCCGTACAAAACAAATATGGCTGCGACCTCTTACCTGATCGTGCTCGGTTGCGTCCATCACCACCTTGGCCACAATGCTGCTCATCTCCGAAACCGCTGCCTGGCTGATCATGTCGCCGCTCTCCGCCGTCTCGCGGATCACGGGCAGACCGCTGAGAAGCTTCTCCACCACATCTGAAGGCACACGCTCCCGGCGCTCGAATCGTCGGTGGAGTGTCAGGAATGCCCGGTAGATCTCACCACCGAGACTCCAGCCGGAAACAGACTCTTCATGGCCCTCGAAGAAAGCCAAGAGGGTCGCCAGACCGTCGTAGTCGCGCTCAACAATGGCCGTCGGCGCCACCTTGTCACCGAGAACCCGGTGTGCCGCCTCGTACGACTCGGCCTGGAGGAGACACTTGACTTCGCTGACTGGATCTGCCTTGACGCTGCGCATGTACAGCGCACGCGCCTCCCAAACCCACGCGGAGGGAATCTTGAAAGTCTGGGTGAGCGTGGTGAAGTCGGCACTGTTTTCGGACCCAATAGAGCCGGCGTGTCGAGAAAGATGCTCCTGCACCGCCTTGGCCCGTGTCTTGGGGTTGCTGAGATGTAGCAGAACGAAAGTGGCCTCGACCCAGTTACCTTCGTTGACCAGCTGATCCGCAAACGACAGGGTCGCGGCATCGGCCTTCTCAGATGCGTCAACACCGAAAGAAACCTTGCCAGTTGCAGGAAGCGCACGACCAAGCTGCCACGTGAGACGGCTATCCAGAGGCGAAAGCTGTGAGTTCTCTGGTCGAAGAATAGACTCCAAGTCGGTCGCGTCATCGGCATGGAGCTTGAGAAGACCCCAGAGGAGATCCTCACGCTGGTGGCGGTCCTGGTCGTCCCAGAGAGCATCAAAGCCCTGCTCAATGTACCACGGGTGCGGAACATCCTCACGATCCTGAGCGACGTCGTCGACAAATTTCTTAACAGCGGCTGGAATGCTCTGCTCTCGGCCGATGGCGTACCAGAGTCGCAGGCCAAATGACTGCTTCCAGTCCAGGCCGAATCGGCGAGCAATGACAAATGACTCCATCCTGTCCGCGACGGGAACACCCTTCTTCCCCTCGCACACACAGACATTCCCAGAAAGAACCTCATAAATGGCACGGATGGCGTCTGTGAAATCAGACAAGACATTGTTGTCCTGCCACTCGGCAAGCTGCGTGCGCATGTCACGCTTTGACTGGTTGGAGGTCCCAATCAATGCAACAAGAGTTGCCAAGCGGAAGTCCTTGCCATCGACGAGCAGCTTGCAAGCCTCCTGGACCCGGTGGCCTGCAAGGGAAGTCAGCGCCTTCTCCTCGCTGGACTTGGCCAGTGCGACTGCGCGACTCGTCGCCGCGTCGACCAGGTCGGCCCAGAAGCCAGACAGCTGTTTCTTGCGTAGCTGTTCTTCAGTGGCTGTGGCGGATGGAACCACCCGGTCGAACAAGATGCTCGCGAGATCCCAAACCAGCTTCTCGTGGGCGTTGGCTGGGTTGCTCAGGTCGCTGTGATGGAAGATGCTCTTCAGGCTGGCCGCATTAAGGGACACTGTAGGGACACCGTCGACGAGGGCCACGCTTGTTGCGCGCATCTGGTTCTCAATGGCCTTGGCCGAGGACTGTTCGACGTCAGCAACTTGCTCAGAGCGCCTCGTAATTCAGGGGGCAAGACGTACCTCGTTGGAAAACTTCATCAGGCAAACGCCCGTCTCCGCACCTTGCGGGACACGAGCGCGTATGGATAGAATGTCGCCTTTAGCCGGCTTCATCGTTCTCGCCAGGGAAGAGGGCGCAGCAGGGAAGACAAGCGTGCCGTCGGGTCCCCAGCCAGGCTTCACGGCCTTGTGGTACGCGATATCGTTTTCACTGAGATCGGATTGATCGCCAAACGTCTTCCTCTGTCGTTCATAGGGCCACTGGTAGGAGAGACAATATCTTAGCAATCATGTTGTCTAATGCACAAAATTTGAATACATGGTGTTGGGCACCTCGAAACCCCGTTCATCGCACATTCACTCAAGGGT